ATCGGCAAAAAGTGATAGTTTGACGTCTTCTTTTCCAATCAGTAATCCTTTAATTTCTTTCTCCTGTCTTATTGCTCTAGCAAGAGTTTCAAGCACTATGTTGAAAAGGAGTGGAGATAGTGGACATCCTTGTCTGGTTCCTGTTTTTAATGGGAATGCTTCCAGTTTTTCTTCGTTTAGAATCATATTGGCTGTGGGTTTGTTGTATATGGCTTTAATAATGTTGAAGTATGTTCCCTCCAGTCCAATTCCCTCTAGGATTTTGAGCATAAATGCATGCTGAATATTGTCAAACGTCTTTTCTGCATCTATTGAGATGACAATGTGGTTTTTGTCTTTGAGTCCACTTATATAATTAATGACGTTTTTTGACTTGCATATACTGAAGAAAAGCTGTTAATCTTGCTTGAGAGGCCAAAAATAGAACAGAAAAGCAATGAAATACTAGAATGATGTGCAGTGATTGCCCCATCCCCAGAACTTGTCTACTTTGCAGAAACAAAGTGCTTGAAATTTTGATGGAACTATAAAAAACTATCAAAATGTTGCTGCCTTTCATGCCTAGAATATGATGCTTTGTAGGAAAAGAGATAATTAAATTAGGCTTCATTGATATTTTCCCCCCATTTGGAACACTTTCTGCTAAAGTTTAGACCTCTACTAAATCTCCACTGCAGAAAGGAGAAGGAAGACAGCTATATCATGAATCTCAACTTGAATACACAGTCTAGAGAAGTAGAGATTAACATGGCATAGGCCATCACTGACATCACTTTAACTGCTTTCTGTGGTCTTAACCAGACCTGTTCAAACTTTGAACTTAGTAGAGTGGTTAAGGAACAGTACTAAAGACTTTGGAAATAGAACTCAAACTATCATCTAGAGACTTGCCAATTTTTGTTTAAATTTATACTGTAAGAAACAAAGTCATTCTGTTATCTAGGAATGGATACAAAGTTCCATCGATCTTCCCCCTGCAACAACAAATTTCTTAAGAGACTTGAGTCCTTCTTTGAAGCTGATATTCTGCAAGCAACGAAGCCTCTAGCATAGCTGCCTATTAAAACCCAGA